CCCCCCCCCCCCCCACCTCCGACAACTACAACATAAACATCAACAACAGCAGCAACAATAACAACGACAACAACAACAACACTAAACAACAAAAATAACAACAACAACAACAACACTAAACAACAACAACAACAGTAATCATCCTCATCATAGAAAGGATCAAAATTATCTAAACAAGAATTACCAGCCAGTGGTGAAATCCTTTCACGAAACCACTAACGGACATATAACTGAAACGACTCATTAACAAATCTATCCATCCAAATAATGAATCAAATAATTATAATCAGTCGCTTGATCAGTGAACCAATCCCCTTCATTAATCAACAGATTCCCTCACAGCTCAATGTACTGACCTGTGTACGGACAGCCAAGCAGTCCTGCTCTCATGCTGATCTTCCCCTTCCACTCCACTGGCTGGAAACGCACGTAGCGCGCCACGAAAGGGCTGTTCAAGAAGTGAGTCCGTGACGTCTCCTTGTCAGAATTCCCACCGAATAGCTGTTTCGTTCAATGAGAGCGCACGAGGAAGACAGACAACAAAAAAGGAGAAAACATAAATATTAGTAGAGGAACATCTTTATCTTTTCTTCAATGACAAACCCCAGAGTTTTTGGGGTGAGAATATATCAGCAAGCCAATTATTTCTTTTCATTTCTTTTTTCATGATATCAAATTTACATAACTCAGCAACCAGGTGAAGGTGATGTATCATAAAAAAAACCCAACAACACAAAACAAGTGCAAGTGGTGCAAGGGGAGAGAAACGATGCAACAACAAAAAGAAGGATTTCTCCTGGTGGAAGAAACGACGACGAAAAAGTGGTCTTCGTCGTGGTAGATACGGAATGCATTGACTCACATGTGCAGATGCTGACGAGGTGAATGTGTTTTGTGCATACATAATTGTGTGAAAACTTTTCCGACTCTGCATAGCAATCACAAACAAAAACCGGCTACTTGTGTACTCATATCTTCCATTTTGATGACCAGAAAAAAAAGATGCGCAGGCATTATGTTTTGGGGTCTAAAGGTGATGCTGAAAAATAATAACAAATGAGAATGCATATGTGAGCAGAATTTTGCTCAGTTTCGCAGTTTTATAGTGATGCTGATAGAGCGATAGGGTTACGGCACTGTTTTATTTTTAATGAGATGATTGACTTCATAATCAAGATGATCAAAAGAGTTAGTATGAGCTTCACTGTTTGAAAAATATTCTGACACTTGCGATTTTAAAGGAAACTAGTCCATTCGCTAAAGGCCAAATTCCTATGATGCCGGACAGATCAAATCGAAACTACATTGCTTACAACTAAAGAATTAAGGCAAGGAGTAAAACGTAAGCCTTAGTTGCTACAAAAATGTTCAGCTTAAAATCTAAAAGGGAACAGAGGATTACGACTGCAAGTCGAAGTAGCTAATCATAAAGGCAACCCTGCACACGTTTGAATGCAATCGAATTTTTTTCGGATCACAATGCAACTTACGGACACGACAGTATTACTTACATCAGTGCAACAACATAACATAACGAAGTGACGTGAAGTATCTCAAGTGCAAATGGTATCTTTGTTCATCGTGACGCGTTCCATTCTCCGGGTTAGAGTGATGGGCACGAGTGCTAGACACTTAGTTCACCGGGAGTGAGCACAATAAAGACGACCAGACTCCGGATGGTTGAGCACATGACATGCAAGATAATCGTGCAGTGCTGTTCATACCTTAGACTGCTCACACCTTGAGCTTATGACGGGGGAGAGACTACACTATGATAAACCTATATACCACCCACTTACCAGATTCTCAAGTTGCATTTTACTAGGCTACAGAAACACTATGTCGCTGGAATTTTTCAACTACCCTCATTTATTTGTCAGAAAATCTTAAAACGTTTCATATATTAGATAAGTATATTATCGTTGACTTTATTCCACACCTTTACATGGGAATTCAATTTCCCTCCCTATCCTCTTTCCCTATTCACTAAAAAGACCCCTCTTTACCCCGTACGCCCACCCTGATACGTTATAATTAAAGTTAATCTTTTTCGAAATTTTCAGCGACACGGGAGAAGATTTGCTTGTCACAATGTGCATGGCCAGTTAGTGGGTTGATTTGTTACATTTAGTTGTTTTAAAGGCATTGGTGAGGTCAGCTAGGCTACTGGGATGTCCGACCAGTGGATTAATGTCAGCCTGTTAAAGAGGTTCTAATCGCTGTTACCGCTGTTATCGAGTTAGAGTCTTCCTACTTTTACAATACATGTGTTTCATCTTATTCGTCAAAATCCCCAAATAAGAAAACGTCAAATTTTCTTCCAAATTTTTGTTTCGAATCTAGAAATGCCTTATTATATATCTCATTTTGGCACCGGTGTAAAGTTGTTTCTATTATTTTTTGTTGAATTCCAAACATTAGGAATGCAATAGGAATACCATGAACTTAAACCCATATCAGCAAATTTTAGAAACACATCGTCATTTTCCCCGCCATACTTTCTCTTTCAGCGAAATCAAATATAGACTTTAGCGTTAGGTTTTTGTTAGGTGCTTCTTTCGAAAGACAGCTACGTTTTATGAACACTTCCCAAACTTGTAGAAATATTTTGATACTGTCACGTTGTTGTTCCCCTCGAACTCAAAATTATAGAAAACATATGATTTCCCTGAGGCAACAATTTAAAAAAAAATCTTTGAACATTTCGTTCGAAGAAACCATTTACAATTGAAAGTTGCTTTCTTCAGCAACTTCTCGATCCGCTTCACTTTTGTTATCTGTCTTCTTCCACATTATAAGATGACCTATAATGTCATGGTTTCAGCAGCATCCAGCGTGCTGCCATTCGGCATTGTCTTCTTTTTTGTTATTATGTGAGCGTTAGAGCAAACATTAGGGTTAGTTCATGCGCTTGTTTAATAGATTAACAGCAAAGACATGTCAACAATAATTCAGGTTCTATCACACCCTACACAATTTCATTTTTTTTCTGTTTTCCAGTGGCTTTCCGTGTGTATATTGTTCACTGATCCAGGTACAGGTTGTATGAGGTTTTCTTTTAAAAGGTCAATACGTATTGCGGTAATGTGTCTCTGTAATGTGAACGTCCTGAGAGTCAATATTAATGTTGAACTACAATATTGAATATTGTCTTTCTTTTCTGTGCTAATTCAGATAAAAAGACAGATTGTTCTTCTCCCAAAAGTCAAGAGAAAGTACCTGGGAGTCGCAAACAGATAGAATGAAAAATAACGGAGAAAACTTGCACTGTGAAGATTTTCCTTTGTAGCTTCTAAAGTGTTTGTGTTAGAGGATATTTCAGGATTATTTTCCCAATAATATCCTCTCGAAGAAAGAAAGTTTTGTCGATAGAAGTAACTTACAAAATAATACAGACATGGGCTAATTCGGTGTGTTTGTATGGTGTGTGGTCTAGATGTGAACTGTGAAAGTCATGCAATCTGACATGCAGATGTGGTTAGGCGAGCATAGGTAGTGGACAGTGGTCAGACATGCGCCACTGATGGTCAGACAGCAGACGACATCAGTGTCAGATTAGGCACACACACAGGCAACAGATTTTGAATACACAAATCAAGCAAACAGTACTCGACATGTATTACTTTTGTTTCATATTTGCTCTATGTATTTTTTCATTTCAATTTATTCTACAATTTAAAAACCCCAGAGTTGTTTGCTATAAAAGTCGAAAAGAGAGCGAGACAATATCACTAGAAGTGTAAAAGATGAAGAAAAAATATATGAGGAGGAAATTGGAAGTCTAAGCTACTCAAAGCATGTATGTATTAAAAATAACAAACTTATTTAAGCCTCAGTTCCAAAATGGCTGATTTGTTATCCTCAAGATTTTATGAGGAGATTTATCACCATCTTCAAAAAATACTTTCTGAAATCCCAAATAAAACCTGTCGAGCACAGTATTCTTGTTAATGGATGCAATAAAACATATGCAAATAAAGATTCTACAAATGCAAACACAAAAAGATGTCGTCAAAATGAATCACCAAAAAATCAGATACCAATCCACGAGATGTTCATTTATAACCGTTTTTCATCCAGCCCAAAACTCAGGATCACAAATTAGGATAGAGTAAAAACTGATTTTGACCATTCAGGTCTTAGTGATTCATTTTGACTCAAAATGTTTTGTAATAAAATGTAAACGATAGAATCTGAAGTAATCTTAATAAGATCTTACGTAAAGTAATAATCGAAACAAATAGGTGTTAAGATTAAATCGCTATTTTACGAATTAACTTGTTAAAATGCATATATGTTAACTATCTGCAAGCGTTGACTTTACCTAGAGTGTCACAATGAATTCTTTCTGCAAGGCCACAAAGGTTTGAGTTCAAATCATTCACACCAACAAGGGAGCACGATCGAAATGGCGGATCACAATACAATCATACCGGAGTCCCGAAAAGTAATGAAAAATCAATTTCAGAAAGGTTGAACAAAACATTTACATTTACAATAAATACAACGAAGTAAGACAAAAGAAATAAAAGAAAAGCAATAAGAAAACTTAAAGAAGAAAAGATTTAGAAAAGTATTGGCCAGCAAAGTAAGCGCTCTAAGACAAACTAGAATGGTACACTACTCTCCGACGAAAGAATCAACATTTGCATGTCTACACAAACTGACTGTCTTTTACTATTGGTCGGCTGGGGTCTTCCCTACCATCAGATCTTGAAGTTCTTTCGGCGGGTTAAAAATTTTTGCCATTAAAAAAACAACAACTTATTTTGAACAATTCATGAACCAAAATGGCTGAATTTAAGTCTGTTTGTAAAGGCAATGTTGAAAAGTAAAATTCCCCAACATACTCCAAGGTGTTTCACGACATTGGGCTAACCCATCCTGTAAGTGGGAAATTCCTAATAGGAGTTTAAATTAGTGTCTAAATCTTAGAGTTCATCAGCCAAAAATGTCTGTATTTAAAAGTATTAAAAACGAATTTAAAAGTTCGCACTTACCAAATGTGCAAAACACTAAAGCAAAACCAATAAAGTAGCAATAAGAGCAAAAAAGATAAAGAAACTCAACACACAAGACAACCACAAGAATGATAATGATATTAATGATCATGATAATAATAATAATAATAATAATAATAATAATAATAATAATAATAATAATAATAATATTAATAATAATAATAGTAATAATAATAATAGTAATAATAATAATAATAATAATAATAATAATAATAATAATAATAATAATGGAAAATATAATAATAATACAATGATAATAGTAATAATAAAAATAAAATAATAACAACAAAAATTTACATAGAAACAATAGAACTGGCGATGGTAGTTTAAAAAGTAGCAATGGTGAAAATAAGTAATAAATAATGATGATGATGATAATGATAATGATAATGATAATGATAATAATAATAATAATAATAATAATAATAATAATAATAATAATAATAATAATAATAATAATAATAATGATAATAATAATAATAATAATAATAATAATAATAATAATAATAATAATAATTATAATAATAATAATAACTTACGACCCTGAGGAGATGGTACTCTTTCCCCACCCCACTTTTCCATGAAGCGATAAGTAAAAGAAAACATAAAAACTCAAAAGTTATAATTTTAGACTTGAAAGTCAAGAGAAAACAATAAGATTTCGGGACTCCGGTACTGGTTGCGGTTCTGTGCCTTAGTCTTACCAGTCCATTTTCCGAGTATTTGTCAGGGATTAAATGTGAAGAGGTTGTATTTAGAGACGGGCTCCACAACCACCGACTCTAGAAAAATCAGAAGGGGTAAAAGGGTTAAGGATTAAACCAAGTTAAAACATTACTTATTATAATTAGGCGTCAACAGCATCAGGAGAGAAAGGGGCAGAGACAGACAAACACCACAGGCCGCAGCACATTGCCTTGAGTTATTCCGAATACTCTCTGCTTCAGAGTATACCGCAAGCAGGCAGGAAGTGGAAGCAGATCCATTCGCGCGTCTGGCCATGTCGATCATCACAAAATGAAGACTAAACCTCTGTTAGGAAAACTTATAGTAGGAGGAATACTGGGACGTTGAGATGACTTCAATAAGTCTCTTCACAAGATATTTACACAAAGTGCAAACTTAACCTTGCATATGTGCGGCTGATTGGATAATAAAGCGTTTTACTATCACAAGATATGGCTAAGCTGCACAACACACAAGTACACATAATACGATAGCAGTATGCTTTGACGATAATACACAAATATACAATATTATAAATATTAGAGAGGTACAAGAATACAATTACTCAAGACGTAAACATTTGCGATTATAAACTTGTAATCATTTTCCGGATAAGAATTACAGCGTATAATATATGGACAGTTACGGTGTATAACACAACATTTTAGCATTAGTAAGCGCCTATTGAGGAGAGGGCTAGAGCTGGCTTGTTTGACCATATACACACAGGAAATGAAATTATTCTAAAAGTTGTCCCTTTATTGTTTGGGTTATAAAGAAGGTATAAATGCCAAAGTAAGCAACACGTGTTTCCTTCAATGTCAACCGAGTCAAATTTAAGACTTTTCTTGAACAGTTTGAAGCAGTAGCACAGTTTAAATGTAAACGTTATAATATTTTTATAAATCTATTCCTAATTATAGTAGTTTTATTTATTATTTTGTAATCGATCGACACAAAATATATCATAATTGAATAAGCGGGTTGTTCCTATCCTGTCTGTCGGGGCCAGCCGTGGCTGAAAGGGATACAACATCCGAACAATTTTTTTTTTAAAAGCTCACAAAACCCCCCACAAAAAACCAAAACAAATAAAACAACTCCCCTTTAAGGAATCGACATCGCGTTTTTTTCTATACAACGGCGAATAGCTTAATTATTATTACACCGACCAAAAAACACAAAAGCAATGCTATATGATGACACCGCACGCATATTAACGGCCGCTCGGATTATATTTAAATACTTAAACTTAATTCCCGGCGAAAATATTTCGCGTTGTCGGAGGGAAACAAATTGTCAAAAGTTGTTTTTTAAATACTGCAATTGTTTCAATTACGAAGCAAAAGAGAATGATATTATCCAGACGCATTCTATGGGCTGTTAGTTACTTTGCGACTAATGACGTATTTGTTTTCTCAACTTTACTACGACTTTATACAACACAACATTCCACAAGGAGAGAGACATTTACTGATATATTCACATCAGACACCTTTTGGTATCTCTACAAGTGTAGCCTGAAAGTGAAAAGACACATGGTTAAAACATAATAATCAATAAACAACGAAGTCCATAGAAACAATCACCTTCTACTGCCTATGTATACTTAATGAATAAAGAATTTGCAAAACATGCACTTTACTCGACCTTGATAAAAACCATTTCTAAATGACAACAATAAACAATTGCAGCGTAATAAAGCGAAATGACGTAATACAGAAATTATACTTGTGTGTATATATATATATTATATACGTATACATTGAAAAGTATTCAAACAATCGCTTTACTGAATAAATGTGTGCATGCAAACTATTGATAAAAGGGAGAAAAACCTTTGGCAAGAATAATATACAGTGTGGCAACTGCAGAAATTTTTTGATAGAAAACTTTGGAAGAAGAAAGAAGTAAATGTAAGCAAACGATTTTTTCCTTCGCATGACAGTCGTATAAAGAATGTCAAAATACATTCAAAAGAGGAAAAAACATCAACCTGGATTTATGGAAGTGATAATAAAGAAGCAAAGCCATTCCAGCCAGCTGCTCGAAATTGCATGCTTATAAGAGTTCAGAAAAGTCGACAAGGTTTTTTATTTTATTCTCAAACGAAAAGAATGTTCTGACAAAGATAAGGATTTAAACGACTGGGGCGTACTATGAGAACGGAATTTCATTTTTTAAAATTTAGATGTCTTGAAATGAAATATTGTTTTAAATTTAAGTAGGCTTTTAAATAATAACTAGCTTTGAATGTGGGTCGCAATTTTCTTCCAATGACTGCAAAAGTTATCTATGTTGCATACTGTTCTTTCAACAGAACATAATTTGTAATTTCAGATGCTAAACCAATGACATGTCCTTTTTACTTGTCCTCAGAAATGTTAACTGACCTTATAAAAACGTTTTCCCACTTCGAGTATAGACAGTTTGGTGGAAACTTGTCTTGATATTACAGCGACACACCGAAATTTTGTCTCTCAATTTGAATATGCGTGTACAAATGTGTGTGTATGTGTGTGTGTGTGTGTGTGTGTGTGTGTGTGTGTGTGTGTGTGTGTGTGTGTGTGTGTGAGTGTGTGTGTGTGTATGTGTGTGTGTGTGTAAGTAGGGTGGTTCATCCTTACATAGA